TGCAAGTGAAGACACCCAGTGTAGCAGTGGCCTCCGCAGATGTAAGCCTCAACATTCACAAGGGAAAAAGCGAGATTCTGAAGCACAACATAGCAAGCACCACCAAAGTCACACGTGGTGCTCTGGGACACTTTGGGGCCTCATCTAACTGGACACCATCGTTGATAAACAAGGAGGATCTGATACAGATGTGAAGAGACGAATTGTCAAAGCAAGGGAGAGTTTCATGTAGTTGGCCAGTGTCTAAAACTCTGAAGTACTATCATGCATGATCCAAGTCAATTTCCAACATTTGAAACGTCAAAACAGTTCTACCGTACTGAGCTGAGAATTGGAGAACTACCCCAAGCTTCTGAAATAGAGTACAGGTATTTATAAATAGTTGTCTGTTGAAAATACTCTAGATCCGTTTGACCAGAGACCAGATAACAAATGAAGTACCGGATAAGGAGGGAATTGGGAAAAGATGATTGAGGTGGATTGGACACAGTTTACGGAAACCATTAAACTGTATCACAAGGTAAGTCCTAATCGGTAGACTTCAAGACAAAAAGTAAGAGGCAGACCAACTAAACGTGTAGTGTCGACAATTGGAGTCGAACATCAAGATCATTGATCGCACTTGGCAACAGTTGGAAAAAGGTTCCCAGGACAGATTTGCTTGGTGATTCTTCGTCATCAGACCATACCTCAATAGGGATAACAATTTTCAATACTTACTTACGCCTGTTACTCCTCGTGAAGGAGCATAGGCCGCTCACCAGCATTCTCCATCCAACCCTGTCCTGGGCAATCCTTTCTAGCTCCGTCCAGTTGTAATTCATCGTTTTCATATCTGCTTCTATTATCCGACGCAATGTGTTCTTTGGCCTTCCTCTTTTTCGCTTCCCTTCAGGATTCCAAGTTAGGGCTTGCCTCGTGATGCAGTTTGACGATTTGCGTAATGTTTGTCCTATCCATTTCCATCGTCTTTTCCTAATTTCTTCTTCAGCTGGAAGTTGGTTTGTTCTCTCCCACAGAAGGCTATTGCTGATGGTATCCGGCCAATGGATGTTGAGTATCTTGCGTAGACAGCTATTTATAAATACTTGTACTTTCTTGATTGTGGTTGTTGTAGTTCTCCAAGTTTCAGCTCCATACAGTAGAACTACCTTGACGTTCGTATTGAAGATTCTCACTTTGATATTGGTTGAAAGTTGTTTTGAGTTCCATATGTTCTTCAATTATAGGAATGCGACCCTTGCTTTGCCGATCCTCGCCTTTACGTCTGCATCGGATCCTCCTTGTTCATCGATGATGCTTCCCAGGTATGTGAAGGACTCTACATCTTCCAGAGTTTTGCCATCAAGTGTGATTGGATTGCTGTTCTCCGCTTTGAATTTGAGGACCTTAGTTTTCCCTTTGTGTATGCTGAGGCCTACTGATGCAGAGACTGCTGCTACACTGGCTGTCTTCATCTGCATCTGTTCGTGTGTACGTGATAGGAGGGCTAGGTCATCTGCGAAGTCCAAATCGTCTAATTGATTCTGAGCTGTCCATTGTATTCCGTGTTTTCCTTCAGATGTTGAGGCCTTCATAATCCAGTCGACCACCAGAAGAAAGAGGAAGGGAGAGAGTAAACAGCCTTGTCTGACTCCGGTCCTTACTTGGAATGCATCTGTCAGCTGTCCTCCATGCACTACTTTGCACTGTAGTCCGTCGTATGAGTTCCGGATAATATTGACAACCTTCTCAGGAACTCCGTAGTGTCGAAGAAGTTTCCATAATGTCCTCCTATCTACACTGTCGAATGCCTTTTCATAATCAATGAAGTTGATGTATAATGATGAGTTCCACTCAACTGATTGTTCGACGATGATCCGTAGTGTTGCAATTTGGTCTGTGCACGACCGATCCTTACAGAATCCAGCTTGTTGATCTCGAAGTTGGGCGTCTACTGCATCCTTCATCCGGTTCAGCAACACTCTGTTGAAGACTTTCCCTGGTATTGACAGTAGTGTAATGCCTCTGTAGTTTCCACATTTGCTCAGATCTCCTTTCTTTGGAATCTTGACGAGGTGTCCCTCTTTCCAGTCCATCGGCACTTGTTCTTCCTCCCAAATCTTTTTGAATAGAAGATAAAGCGTGCTTGTGGTTGCTTCGATGTCTGATTTCAGTGCTTCAGCTGGTATGTTGTCGGGTCCTGCTGCTTTCCCGTTCTTGATTTGTCTGACGGCCATTCTAATTTCTTCCGTAGTTGGTGGATTGACATCTATAGGAAGATCTATGTGTGCTGCTTCGATGTCCGGTGGATTCATTGGAGCCGGCCTATTCAGGAGTTCCTCGAAGTATTCTACCCATCTGTTACGCTGTTGTTGAATTTCAGTGATTTTCCTGCCTTCTTTGTCTTTGATCGGCCTCTCTGGTTTACTGTATTTCCCTGATAGTTTCTTCGTTGTATCGTAAAGCTGTTTCATATTTCCTTCTCTAGCAGCTTTTTCTGCCGTCGTTGCTAGTTCTTCCACGTATTTCTTCATGTCGGCTCTAATGCTCCTCTTCACTTGTTTGTTTGCTTCTATGTATTCAGCTTGTGCTTGGACTTTCTCTGCTCGTGTTCGGCTGTTGTTTATTACTGCCTTCTTGTTCTTCCTTTCTTTGATCTTGTCCAGTGTTTCTATAGAGATCCATTCCTTATGATGGTATTTCTTTAGACCGAGAACCTCTTGACACGTTGAAGTTAATGCTTCCTTGATGCCTTTCCAGTTGTCCTCCATAGTAGTTTCTTCTTCTTTCAGTAGATCTTGTAAGGCTTGGAACCTGTTGTTGAGAGCTATCTTGAATTCATTGAGTTTGTCAGTATCTCGAAGGAAGGCTGTATTGAACCTTTGTATTGCTGTTTGTCCACTTGTCCAGTTCTTTTTTAGCTTCAGTTTTAAATTGGCTACAACTAGGTGGTGATCTGAAGCTACGTCAGCACCTCTCCTGGTTCTCACATCTTCCATTGTCCTTCGGAATGTTTTGTTGATGCAAATATGATCTATTTGGTTCTCTGTAGTGTGGTCCGGTGAGATCCATGTAGCCTTGTGTATACGCTTGTGTGGAAATATTGTGCCTCCTATGACCAATTTGTTGAATGCACATAGATTTGCAAATCTTTCTCCATTTTCGTTTCTTTCTCCCAGTCCATGTCGTCCCATAATATCTTCATATCCAGTGTTGTCTATTCCGACTTTGGCATTTAGATCTCCCATCAGAATAGTTAGGTCCTTTCTTGGGCATTTCTCAATGATTGACTGCAGCCGCTCGTAGAACTGATCTTTAATTTCGTCGTTGCTATCATTGGTGGGTGCATGACATTGGATAATATTCATTAAGATCCCCTCCTTCTTTGTTTTGAATGATGCTTTGATGATTCTGGATCCGTGAGATTCCCATCCTACAAGTGCATTTCGTGCTACTTTGGACAGCATAAGAGCGACTCCCTGAGTGTGTGGAGCATTGTCCTCTTCGTGACCGGAGTATAGCAGCATCTCTCCCGTAGCTAGCTTTTTCTGTCCAGCTTGGGTCCAGTGGGTTTCGCTGATTCCCAGTACTGCTAAGTTGTATCTCCTCATTTCCATTGATATTTGACTGGTCTTCCCGGTTTCCCACATTGTTCGAACGTTCCATGTACCTATAAAAATTTTTGCTCTGGTTGTTAGAAGGGGCATCGGCCTCGTGGCTTCCGAAGGAACTCGGCTTTCACCATGAAGCGTCATAATTCTTCTAAATGAAGACCTTCTAACTCCCAGGGCAGAGTTAAAATGGTTTAGATTATTTTTTCTGGTAAGCGTTTTTTTAGCGAGTTAGTTTTCTACGGGATGGGGACGCTAACCCCATGCCCAACCCTCCTCCTTTACCCGGGCTTGGGACCGGCAGCAACCCTATAGGAGCTACAGGCGGGTGGGTGATAAAACGTCAAGAAAATATTTACCCGCAAATTCTTCTGATTCTTAATTCTCACTTGCTTCGGTTCGCTGTGTGATGACAATGAACGTGTCTGGATTCGTTAAAATGAATTTAACACACAGAGATATATGGAATCTAGTGATACTATGTGTCTGCAAATCAGTTTCTCACTAGACTTGATTATCTGTCTGAATCTCTGTATAAAATGGTTTTAAAGGCAAGGTTACCAACCAGATAAACTGGGTTTCCATTCAGTAATATGATATGCCTATATACAGAATATGAACGCGGAAGCAACATGATTAGATACTATAGGCGATTAGAGGATTTCATATTTGTAGATCATTAATTTCCGGTGAATTAGCGTTGGGCTTAATGCTTTCACACTACCAAGTTTACACGTATTTTAACTATACGTACACGTCTACTCCATAAATTACATGAGTACAGAGATTCCTCTTTAGTATGTTCAAATACTGAGTGCCGTGGTGTGATTTTACAATCTAACGTTTACAATACATTCTTCTGGTCTTTGATTATTACCATTAAGCCCGTTTTCTCAATAAAATACGACGCACACGACTTATATTGACATTTTATCCAAGTCTTTTGATATATATATGGCTTGTTGCTAGGTTCAGGTATCCAAAGTTCATTGAATATCTAATAATTCAAATACCTGTCAATTATCTATCCATCATAACAGAAACCAAGCTCTAACATAAATAAACTTTATAAAGGTTCATGGTCATATTGAAATATCCTATTACTAAATTCAAAATTCTACAATAATTCACTGTTGTTGCTACATATTCTTATAAGAACAAAGATAAGATTAATAGCTTGTTTGTAACATCAATGCATCATTTGATTAATCTTCCTCTATGTTCACTTCCTTCGGAGACTAATTTTAAGTCTTCTTGAAAAGTGTGGATTCTTATCTGCATAACATTCTCCATTTATTATTTAAAAAGCGATGTTGAAATTGAAACTTTCAAGTTCCCATAATTTCTTAATTATGAACAACATAATGTTTTCCAATCTTTGCAATATTGTACGCTGATATTTTTTAGGGTGTTGCTGGAATAGTTCAAGCATCCGGTTGGCCGGCAGTTGTAGCTTGTATGGGGAATTGGTTTGGTAAAAATAAGTAAGCAGCTTTACCATTTTTTTTTCTTTTCTACAGTCCTGCATCACAGAAATGTACTAATATTATGCCTTGACGTCTACGTTTCTATATTTAGAAAACCCATATACTTTTCGAATTGGTCCACCAAGGTTTTTGATACCTGTATGATTACGCCACCGGATTGAGCTGTGCTGTTCAGGTTGTAAAGAGCTTGAATAGTGTCTGGTTCTCCTGAATACAGAATGATATAACGGTCAAATAGAAATATTTCTTCCCCTCTATGATACATTTCTACTGTACGATAATGAGACTGGTGACCGATATTATGCTACCATTAGACTATATGCTGAATTGATGTTTGCCCCCAAATCCCCAGGTACGGCTAAGAGTGGAGAGAGTTCGCTCTCCCTCTCAAAATTCTCTCATATAACCACACAAATAAAGCCACTGCCGGGAAATTTCTACTCACTGCTTTCTCGCCGCGGTGGAGTTGTTTACGGAAGTGAGAGGACAGAAAGTAAATATCTGGAGGCTAAACCGATTTGGTGGGTACGGCGGATACACCTAAAGAAGTTTGCAAAACCTGATTCCAAGTCAGAGGTGTACACAGGCTTCAGGATCCTGGGAGGTCGAGTGGTGGATGAACTTATTCTTGGCTAGTGATTACCATAAGATCGCATCTGACTCAGTTTCACTGCATTGTGGATTAGACCTCTAGGTCAAGGGCTCGGGGAGTGACTTTCTTTACCTTCTTAAACAATTATCGTAAGTACTTAATGACATACAAAATCATTGTATACTCCCTTATCCTTCTATTCCTTACTGTCCCCATTCTATGTTTACTTTTATTTTCCAACTCACGCAATAGCTCACTTGTGGTGAAAATTCTGTCTTGTCTGAATGGTCTCAAGTCACTCACTGGTCATAAGTTGAATGCTGCCACCGATTACAACTTCTCAACCATTCTTTATTAAACTATGCGTACTTTTCAGACTAGTTTTCTACACTAACGCATGTCGGATAATAGATATGGGGTTGAATCTGTCTTTAAATATCTTAACACCGACGTCGGTTGTCTATCAGAAACCTGTATTCAAGATTCTAGTGAAATACTACACATTTGATCTCCATTTCATAAATCAAGAGACTTGTTTTGTATACGTTTTTCTGGAGACTGTGGGATCTTCGTCCGGTTTTGCTGGCCTTTGTGTCACACTACGCTCCAGAGCAGATGCAGCACTAATAGATTGGATCCCTATTAACAGTCGATTATCTGTTATTAGATCAAAATGGGAAGAACGATGTCTTTCGTAATGTTTGCCTACACCCCGACAGATTGCAACCCAAATACAATCAAGGATCAGTTCTATCACCAGTTAAATGGTCTACTCAAGAAAGCTCGTTCGACAGATACTGTATTCTTAACTGGAAATTCAAATATCCAGATAGGGTGTTTAGGCACAGAGTAGAGCCCTCTAGATGGCCAGTAGGGACTTGTTGGTCACAGGTCAAATAGCAGCGACCGTCTCCTGCAGCTTTGTGGAGACTACAACCTGTTTCTGGTTGGCACTAACAATCGACACAATCATCTCCGTCATGTTGCGTGACGTAATTTCTCCTCAACTCGAGCCTGGACTCAGATTGATTATATCGCGACTAGTTCTTGATGTTGTGGTTGTATATCGGACTGCTGCTCTCTTAAACGCACTTATCTGGACTCTGATCATGACCTCTTTTCTCCAGTCTTATTTTACGTTTCAGTGGCCTGTAAATTCATAGAATTTGTATAAACACATTTTCTGTACCCGAATGTTAAGGCGAGCTAGGTTCGAGACTTGTTATCAACATATCGTAAAGCATAGATGAGCACATGACGTCATGACAGTGACGGATAAAGTTGCTTGTGGCTTCACGAAGCGTCCCGGTTTTAGGCACTGGGTTTTTACAGGCTCCTTACAGCTTGAGGCACGTCGGCCTACGGCTAACCTCTAGTTTAATGATAAACGTAATTCCTTACGTAATTAAATTGTGGAAAATGTGCTTAAGGACCTAGGAGCCTAGTGGTCGGAGTGTGTTATCGAGTTGGAAGCAGCAGCTGCATCTGGCAACTGCCGGAAGCTCTTTCAACTCACCCGAGCCACTGAACTCAAGAAGTCTAGTGTGAGTGAAACAGTTTGTGAAGCTGATAGTACGCTAATCAATAACATCTAACGTCTTGGATGATGGACAAAGTTATTCGAGAAACAGTCCAGGTGGTCTGCTGCCCAGGAGACATCAACCAAACTGTTCTTTCCTTTCTGGCCAGTCTCAACTAATTCACCTAAGGAGGCGGAAGTCCACACGTAACTTCAACTCCTGGAAGCACTATGAATTGCCAGACTCAGATGATTTACGTCCGACCATTTTTAAGGATGATGGCGAACTTCTGGTTAAGAAACTGGGTTATTTGCAAAGGTTTTGGAACCAGAATATGTCCCAAAATTCTGGAATGGGACAACTGTCGTCCATATCTTTAAAAAAAGGTTTACTTCAACTATGCAACAACTAGTGAGGGATAAGTCTACTTTCGATTTTGGACTCTTATTTATTGGCTTCCGTCATACTTTGTAGATCATTCAAAACCAATGTAAGGTTAATTCACAAACAGCATGGTGGTTTTTGTCCTGATCGAGAATGTGTTGATCATATCTTCACTCTCCGCCAAATTTTAGAACACTGCCATACTTATTGCAGACCAACAATTCCGGTTTTTCTTGATATCAAGGCCGCTTTCGATTCGTTGGACTGAACTGTCCTCTGGGATTGTCTTTCCAAGAAGGGTGTGCTTAAGAGATTTATTAACATCTTGAGGAAAACGTGCCTGTCCGGGTTGAGGATGTTAAGGAACTCTGTGTTTGATAATTACTATCTCTAAAGGATTTCTGACATTCAGTGGTAACACCATGTTAGTTATGCGGAAGTTCGGCGACGTGTGTTCGTTCACGGTGACGACAACTCAATTAGTATCACCATCTTGAAAGATCGACTTCGGTGGCTTGAACGTGCACTACGATTATCATCCCAGAGAATTCCACATCGTGGATTATTTGCCGTCACTGGAAATGTTTGGAAAAGGCGGAAGAGTGTTCCGTGTATGACATAGTGTCGTGGTATAAAGGAAAGCTGTACGGGACTAGCATCTTTGGTCTTTCACGGCTCTAGTTGCGGTCCTGGAGATAATGCGACACTGGTTTGGGATGTTTCCGGATATGGCTCGGAATAGAAGTCAGTGGCGTTTCTGCTATAACTTTCTTTATATATGTAAGAGAAACTTATTTGACTGAAAGAATCCCTTCTGGTTGTATTTTTCTTAACTAAACTGCTCTCGTTGGTATTATTTTTTTTCACTTCCATCCACTTATTTATTTTGTGTTTTTTATTACGCTCACCTTCCTTTATCCCTTCACAATCTTATTTTCGTATTATGTGGTTCATGTTTATTTTGATCCCTTTTTGTACCAATATTTGTTTTCAAATAGTAATAATAATACTATATATACACAAACTTGATCACCTTATACCAAATACCTGATTCACGATTATATTAGAAAACCCGGTTAATACACCAGACAATACCTTATTCAACGTAATTACAAGCAGTCACTTGATGAGTCCAAAGTAGAAACCAGTAATATGAAGGTAATCATATTCAGTAATTAGTGTCTTAGTCCATTGTCAATGGTCATTCCTGTCTTACTTTCATTACTGCACATCACATATTTAAAATTATCCTTTTACAGGGTATATTTATCATTGTAAATTGGAACAACGGTTAAGGCATTCAACTGTAGCCAAGATATTCGTCCAAACCCAGTTGCACTTACTTGGGTCTGGGGAATCGGTTAGTACTGTTGCCCCTCACACTTAGAGTGGAACTCGAAGCCACAGACATGAATCCATACCGAAATGGATTTCCAAATCCAACACATAAAACAACCAGTGTTTTCTTTTAGCTATTCAGATTATTATTGTTACTTCATTCTACGTTCAGCTGTTTATCATCGCAGGATACAATAAAAAAGCTATAATTAAACAGCTGTCTACTTTTATTTCAGGATACAGGTTTATTCATTCTCTGAGGGACTATAATCCCTTTTACTGAAATAAGTGAGGTAGTGGTGACTTTATGTTATAAAGTATGGGGTTTTCAAACAGTAGGTCATAGGTTCAACCCTTGCTCTACCTACTTCGTTTTCGACAGCAATGTGGCTTGAAGTTGAGTTTGTAAAACTTTACTTCTTATTTGAACCGCATTATTATTAGCATAACAACAGTATTTATTATAAGGTAACTAATGCTATTTTGAGATGGTGGAGAAGATTTGTAGCTCAGGTGGATGATTTTGGTAAAGTTTTGTTCTCTAAGCTGGATGGTTTGGTCGTGGAGCTTTCATCGTTCTTCTGAACGATGAAAGCTCCACGACCAAACCATCCAGCTTAGAGAACAAAACTCCACCATAACTATTGCTATGTACGATTACTATGCAATCTATTATTGTTAAAATATATTAACATCACTTTTTGATAGTCACATAGATTGGGATCCTCAAATTAGACTTTATTCTTCATTCAGTTAATCGGTAGGAATAAGAGAAACGTGTGATGAATGCTTTAATTAAGCGTGTTATGTTAGCCGGTACAGTAATGTATTGGGAAATGTCTAACCTTGGGAAAACGAAGACTTGCTATCATCATTCTATTTGGTCATCACCCCTTGGTGTGTACCATTCAGGGGTTGTATAAGCTTCTTGATTGGTGACAACAAAATTATTAGTTAGAGATATTATATGAAACGATGCATAAGTAATTTAAAACAATTAGTCCCTTTGATAAATTTCGATAATGCAATGAGAAGACGTAGTTTATCATAATTCTGATAAACTACGTCTTCTCATTGCATTATCGAGATGCGTAAGTAACCTAAATAGTTCAGACCCATCTACTTTTTATTGGCTTAGATCATAGATGTATTATTTAGTCTTAGCCTTTCTTATTTGGGTTATTTATTATTATGATTATCATTATTACTACTTGTTATAATCTCTTTCTTCTTACGGTTATGACCCTGCTATTCCTATTGCTTAGTATTCTTGGACACCGATTCACTCGACAAGTCCCCAAATCAGAACACGGTTGAACAGGAAGGAGATTATATTCCAAATAACAAGGTTAGATGGAAGCAAGAAGCAAGTCAGAAGCGCAATAGGGAAAACGTCAGTATATTTATAGTTTTTACATAAGAAGATTCCAGAGTATTCTCCAACTATCGCCTAGTGCTGATTGGTTAAGAATTAGCCAATCAGCGCGCACCAAAGCAATCATGCATTGAGCATGCTTTAATCTAGTCTATGTCCCGCTAACACTACTACTGCTATTATTGCTATTACTGTTGCTACTATTACTATTTTTATTATTACTATCGTCATTACTATTATTATTATTACCGTTATTGTTACTACTATTATTGTTGTTACTATCATCATTATTACTGCTACCATTATTGTTATTATTACCATTATTATTGTTATTATTATTATTTCGGGCACCACTTTCTTCATGCTTGTCGATTGATTGGTGCTTAGTGTCGGAAATGAACTGATATGCTTTTATGCTAGATCCTAGGGTATTTCTATCTGAGATTATGGAAGTTAGTAGTATCGTGGTGTGTGCTACTTATATGATGTTGGTTGTGAATGGAAGGTCTGGCAGCAGAGAGACAAGAGGATCGAACAGTGAAGAATGGGAACAGGATGCAATTTGTATGCAAATGCAAGAACAATGAAGTCGGAGTCATTTTGAGACAATTGGCGGACATTTTTCAAATTAGGTATTTACTTTATGATTGCTAGATTTTATTAACAAGTCCTGTAATTTTGTGTTAAATACATCCGATTGTCCCCACCCGTGTTCTATTCACTACAGTATAACTTCCATTTATTTTTACCTTAATTTTCAGGAGAGGATTTTTTATGGGAGTTTGGACAGCGCATTCTAGCATTGGAAACATTTTGGGCTCCTTAGTTGCTGGTGCCTTTGTAGAAATAGCTTGGGGATGGTCATTTGTTATTCCAGGATTAATAATTGGACTTCTCAGCTTACCAATTTATCTGTTTCTTGTACCGTGTAAGTTTACTTTGTTTTTTAACACTCGATTTGAGCCTTTGTGTGATGTGTTTTATTGTTGAAAACTCGCTACGCACTTCGGAAATATCGACACAATAGTGGTGGAAAGGGTTAACTCAGTAAATGCAAATTGATCGGATTGAGTTAACCCAACAACGCTATGCGTCCACAATTCAAAAAGACAAAGTTTGACCTGCGACTGCAGTAAAATACACTTGACGGAGGAATGCTACTGTTGATGTATAGATTTCCTTTTCAGTAATTACTATTTGCATTTAAATATTAACTTAGCGGAATTTATTCTTGGATTATGATTGATATCAGTTCGGAGTAAAAATCTTAGTGATTCATATATAAATATTTATTCTTGTTGCTGAATCTATTATAATCATATTACCTTTTTAATCATAAATCAATTCGTAACCAAACATTGTGTTGTCGTTGGCTAAAAAAGTGATTTAAGATCGTTTGTATGCTTTGTTTCCATCCTGACCACAACATTAGTAACTGAATTTGTCGAAATTTATCCGGATGCTAAACTGAATGATCATCATATTGAATTCATCAGTATTCTTACTCTTGGTCGCTTTTTATCATTTACATAGGTTTTTGTTTTGTTTTCGTATTATACATTTTTTAAAATCTAGTGGGGTTCAAGGTATGAGTTACATAATCGTGTTTTTGTAAAGCTCTTGTTTTTCTTGAAATTCGGTTTGACATAAATTGGTACTAGCTTCGTAGCAAATTACTTTTTAGGATACTGTTATCTAAATAGATGAACTGTAAACAATCACCAGATCGGTTTGATTTATTCTAATTTTGATGATACGATTTGCGAGTCTGGATAATAGCGAAGTGAATTAAAATATCACAATCTTTATATTTTTGAATTGTGGATATGGTAGATAGGAAAAACCTTGCTTATCACCGGCGACTGATGACTCCACTAACTTTGAGAAATTAACTCCAAGCATCCGTTTTAATCGGTTAACAACGTATGCATTCTATTGTTTATCCCAATGAAGTTTGAATCACTGGATTTAGGGACTCACAATAAACGATGTAAGAAATCACTTAGTACTCCATCTGCTCAGGTGATCACAGTTCTTAACAAGATGCAAGAAAAAGTACGAGTTCTTAAATAGTGTTCATGAATCGTTGTGTAAATTTTATTCCACGTTACTCATATCGTCTTCAAATACTGGCTTGTTAATACACCTCAAAATGACAGTCTTTAAACCAATAGACCGTCTTTGTAGCGGAATTAGGACAAGGAAAATAAGTATAGAATTGGTAAGTTAGCATGTGAGTTACGCTAACTGCTATTAAGTTAGTCATGTAAGATAACTGTGTTATTCACGTGAGGCTAATGCTTTAAATTACACAACACTATACAGTGGCCCTGATTCTGACCAACTTTGTTTATATTGCCGTTCAGGTATTATATTCATTGACGTGTAATCTAATTCCCATTTAGGTCTCAGTGTTATCTCAAAGAAGACCAGTTAATTTTTGTTTCTCAATTTCATGTCATCGGTAATAGATAAAAACAGTGTTTACGGTTTGTGTAGGCCATATCACTTGTTCATTCCCTATCGACTAGAAAAATAGTTCGAGATTTTGTTCGTTTATTTGTAAGTTGAGTGCTTATTTGCCTATGCTCAGTGGTTAATTACATATACTTTCACTATCGTACAAATTTACCAAGTATAAACTCGTGTACTCGGTGCTATGATCCACAATATCCAAATATTAATCGGAGTCATATCATACATATATTCTTTTATATTTAGATCCTGAATGTGTTGAAGTTCAACTTCCTGTCCAGCATAACGCAAGTGTATGTTTAAGCACTTTAAATATATTTGAAAAATGTCTTTTTTTTAAAAAAATTTTTGAACTTCCAATGTACAGTAACTTGCACTTAACCGTTTAAAGTGATAATAGAAAGTTACAAATGTTTTTTTTCATTGTGTATTAAAATGTTCCTAATAGAGTGTTTCACTAATCATGAAGAGCATTTTATAGTGAATGTAATCCTTTTACTAATTTTAGATCTATTTAGTCGGGTTTGTGGCAAGCCGCGTGTATGTCTGTGATATAGCCCAAAGCCGCCAATCAGAAGCAGCGAATTACCGATCGGACTAAGGCGTGTAAAACACGTGCGAGCAACCTAGAGTTCTGATTGGTCCTGCTTCCCACCTAGCCCAGCCAGTTAAGTCCAGAACACAAGTCTAAGCCTCTGCGATATGAATCATGTATTTCAAACATACTCTGTTTATATACCAATCAAGCAGACCACATCGTATCATAAAATAGAAAACAACAGTTGTACAATATTTGGCCAAATGTGGCTGTGAATGTGGGAGGTATAGATTAATAGACAGGGAATAATTCAGGAATGGAAAATCGTATAATAACAGTTCATAGGTTAAAATAAAGCTTATGATAAGAGAGACATGAATATGAAAAGTTAAGTTATTTAACAATTATACTCACAGTATTGGTCCATAAATAGATCCCAAAAAATTACCACTCATTATTCTTATCGGGAGGCAACAGACTTTGAGAGCTAACGATAATAATACCTTGCTCCTTAAACTCAGAGTAGAGTGGCGTTTCAAGCCTTATTGAAAGCTGAGTCATTTAAACAGTTACTCCATTCATCCTGTGAAGGTTTCCTGTTGACTACCTCCAACTACTATCTAAATCTCAATACATAGTGCCCGCAGTGTCGAGTCACCTAGACTGGTGGCCACATTGCAACATGATCGATAGCATTCGATCTGCACTAATAAGGACTAGACAAGCATGACATTGATCACCACCCAGTGATCAATCAATTGTGATTACATCTCAGTCCTACAGGAGGTTAGTCACGGCTCGGATAGCTCAGTGGTAACGTCTCTGACTGTGAAGCTGGGTGACACGAGATCGAATCCGCCAGGGAGCACCAGTTCCCTCAAGATTACAGGTACACCTTGCTGACGAGTGCCAAGTAGCACGAAACCCGGGTCCAGGGTTTCCTATTGACTAACTCCTTAACAATTTCCCAATTTGATTGTACGTCAATCAGTGTTACTAGTTTTAAGAGATGGTTTGATATTTAGCCCCTAGACGGCCTGGTACGGCCGAGAGTGGGGAAAGTCCGCTCTCCCTCTTGAAATGCTCTCGCATGGCCACGCGTATACAGCCACTGTCAGGGAAATCCTTCTCGCGGCAGGGGTGTTGTTTACGAAATTCAGAGGAAGAAAAGCGAATATCCGGCGCTTTTACTGGGTTGGTAGATATGGAGGATCCACCTATGGGAGTTGGAAAACTTGGATTCCAAACCAGTGGTGCGTCGGGGCTCCAGGATTCTGAGACAACGGATGACTCATTGTTGTTCGCCGGTTACCATTAAACTACCTATCCTAACGTTGTTCCGTTGCCTTGTTGATCAGACCTTTGGGTCGATGGCTCCGGGTATATTCCCCTGAGAAAACCACCTGCTTCAGTCTGGGTACCCGGGCATTATCACAGCCCACACACAAATGAAGTGACTTGTGTGGCACATATGTATACGGTGTCTTTTTGTACCAATATTTATGTGTTCAAATAATTCGATATGTAAAACATCATATCCAGGCTAATTCAGTCAGTGCAAACTTGAAACCCCATCAGTTTGGTTACCGTCAATTAAATTTTTAATGTATAATGGAATCAAAATTACCTAGAAAAATATATGGAAATAGTCAAATATGGATCTAATCACTTACGTATTTATTGAATCATTACATAGAGTAAATTTGTACACATAATCACGTTTATATTAAGGACACCACCCTACTTGATCAACGTCGAATCAATTTAAACAGGAAATTAAATGATTTGGTTTTATTTAGGCTGTGGTTTTGCAAACATATTTGCCCTATACTTCGATAGAGTTAATGGTTATATGTAGTAAGTCAGTCAGTCAGTCGGCAACAACGTAGAACTTCGCATCATATCATTATGAGTAAAGTTTTCGCATAAGATCATGACAATAATTATCAAAATTATTTGAACTATATTAAGTGTTTTGGATTGTCAATTCGAGCATTTCGATAATGCAATGAGAAGACGAAGCTTATCAGAATTATGTGATATATTTGCGCAATACATTTCGAACAATCTGATCACATATATACTTGTTATGACATTTTTATGTGAAAATTATGAGGTCAACTAGACAGGTTAAAGGTAAGCCGTAACAAAAAAAATAATAAAATACACAAAAATGTGATAACCACTCTGGATAATAAATCAGTATTATCAAGGTAGGTTAAGGGTAAGGACAAATATTTTTCGAACGCATGAAAGGGGTTTCAGTTTTCGTATAGCTAAGGCTTCAATAAACCTTAGTTTACGTCCTTGAAGGCTTTTGTACAACACTACAAATGCTGACTTGATGTCAACCTTATGACCAGTCTCAATCAAATGTTTCGTAATGGAGGATGATATCTGTCTATCCTGTGACCATTGGAATTCATTTGTTCCTGCAACCATTTTGGCATGTTTTCACCCACCCTTGATTGCAAATCATGATTGCTCCTCCCTATGTACGTGTCCTGCACATACATGTAAATTGATAAACGGAGAGTTAAATTAGCCATCAACCGGACATTTTATGCAGCCCAATTCGTCATTATTGAAAAGACAAGGTGCATGTTTCATCAAAAGCCCAAATAGCACGTAAGCGACTGTGTCACATTCCATGGATGGATAGACACAAAGACTGTTTTCATTGAAGTCTTGCTACTTATAACTTCATTGAATACAGTCTTTGTGTCTATCCATCCATGGAATGTGACACAGTCGCTTACGTGCTATTTGGGCTTTTGATGAAACATGCACCTTGTCTTTTCAATAATGACGAATTGGGCTGCATAAAATGTCCGGTTGATGGCTAATTTAACTCTCCGTTTATCAATTTACATGTATGTGCAGGACACGTACATAGGGAGGAGCAATCATGATTTGCAATCAAGGGTGGGTGAACACATACATACCACTGTAATTTTATGTTGGTTAACATATATGGTTTCGATGTTATTATTTTTGTCATAGGGACTAAGATGTTGACTTACCTACGAATTGTTAAATATATTGCATGTTTAATGACCTATGGTTATCATTTAGTACCAATAGTTCATGATGCCTGTGAATTATTATTAGCGGGATGTAGATTGGATTAGAGCACGTTCCGTGCAAGATTGTGTTGGGGCACGTTGATTGGCTACTTCTTAACCACTCAGCGGTGGCGAATAGTTGGAGAGAACTCTAAAATCTTATGTAGAAATATAAATATACTAACATTTTTCTTATTGTGATTCTTACTTCCATCCAACCTCGTTATTCTAGATAAAATTATGTTCTTGTTCAACCGTGTTCTGATTTGGGACTTGTCGAGTGAATTAGTGTCCAAGATTACTAAGCAATAAGAGTATCTGGGTCGTAGTAAGAGAATCGATAACCATTATAGCCTCGTTTATTTCGTATGGGTATGGTATTATACGGACTGGAAATATAAACATGCTATCTGTCCGTTCAGTTTTTATTGTGTGTGGGGCTTTTTTAAAAGTCGGGTTTTAATTTGTCCTTTGACCACCTCATATCGATCCGAAATATCGGACGGACGGACTGTCACCTTCTTAACCATGCAGTGATGTTTTAATGATTAGACTGCCTAGCTTTCATCCATCGGGTCACAGATTCGAACTGCATTGCAACTACTGCTTGGGCATTCAGGTAATATTACTATTCTTGACACGACCGTTACTCAAGGTCAGTTGATGAATAAACCTGTATTTGGCAACCGAGTTACAGTTTATCTTGCTAGCGATTTTTTATCAAATTAGTAAATTCTGCTTTTGCGTATCGTATTATCTTGTACTGTTGTGTACATTTTACAGGATTATGGTTCCATTAACCAACAAATCATAGATGGAAACTCGTTTGAAGTGAGTCTACCTGTTTTGCACTTCGCCTGTAAAAAGCAAACTTGTTTAATCAAGTAAATAACATGCTTAAGCATTCAAAAGTATTTATATATAGGTTATCCAAATTCCGTACTAGAGAATTCTTATTATATTTGACGGCCACATTGTTACTCGTACTCGATGTTCAAAACGACGATTAGGCATATCTATTATTTAAATAAAGAAGGGTCTGTAATGTATCATTAGTAGCCAGGCTAATTCGTGTAGATTGGGTTTTGTCTATCAGTCAGTCGGCACCAACGTAGAACTTCGTACGTACGTACATCAGTTCGAGTTGCCATACCACATTAGTAAAGAGACGCAGTTGTCGATTCAAATCCCATAGTACTAGAGGTAGTAAAAGTATAAGCAGTAGTCGGAAAGATTAGGGTTTGAAGATGTTATTCAATGAGTATAATCCAGTGAAATAAATTTGGATAGAGAGAAAAGAAAGGGAGATGAAGAATTCAGAAGATTAGAATTTGGGAGAACACAAAGAGTGGATGCACCTGCGCCATTGCAAACAATTTTGATCCATGTCACTCAACGTATCTAAACATCGGTTACTATCATCTCGCGGATCCCAACCAGGTAGTTTACACCTACCAACGTGGCTCAGTCCACTTGTCAGTGGCTTCATGGATTTGTGCCATGTTTTGGTCTGGCCGCCCCTAGATTTCTCCCAACCTACACCTACACTATAAAACACCGCATGTCGGTGCAGTCGGTGGTTGGGCATACATAACACATGTTCCAACCATCTCAACTGTCTGTACATTAAAAATTGTCACATTGATTCTTCTTTGCACTCAAATGATTCTATGGCCTACTGTTTACGCTTAGCAATTGCATTCCAATAGGACGAAATTGTTTCATTTCATCTCAATGAGTCATCATCTAACAAATGAGTAGAATCCGATCTTTTTTTATACTAATTTTAGTCGGTTTTTGTATATTGAACTTCGTAGAAGTAAATACTTTACAAGTTTTTTCTTAAATTATATAATGATAATAGTTTCATATAATCTCTGCAATTCTCAGGATACTACTAAGTGGATCATGACCATTTTTTGTCGATATATATAATAGTCACTTAGCCTTTATTTTACGGCAAAAACAGCATTACTCATTGTTAGGTGGGATTATGTATTACACGTGAAAACAATAACCTTTACTATATATACTGACACAAGTTTTCTAATTTTGTTGTTTTCTTTCTGTCAACTTAGTTTTCATACACATAGTTCCCTTTATTATTTTAAAGAGAGTAAGAACAAAGGTTAGTGCAGAATAATATGAATTCATTTTATTTCGTTAGGTTCTCATCAGCTGCTTACAACCTAAATTATTTGAAATTCAACGTTATTATAGATATTGACATACTTATACAACAGAGGGCGATGAAGGATGAATATATGTAACATAATGTGGTAAAGATTTCGTTAGAGTGATTGAGGTCATAAAATTTTTTTTTGTTTCGAATATATAGAGTTTGGGAGGGAAGGTTCCAGAAACCTGGAAACTTCCCTCCCAAACTCTATATATTCGAAACAAAAAAAATTTTATGACCTCCATCACTCTAACGAAATCTTTACCACATTATGTTACATATATTCATCCTTCATCGCCCTCTGTTGTATAAGTATGTCAATATCTATAATAACGTTGAATTTCAAATAATTTAGGTTGTAAGCAGCTGATGAGAACCTAACGAAATAAAATGAATTCATATTATTCTGCACTAGACTTAGTTTTCATTGTATCAAGCAAATAAATTCACTTTATTTTAAGTATTGTTACTTAAGTTGGAATTTATTATTGCTTATAGTAGATGCTAGCTTGAGTTTTTAAAACCACAATTACCAATTTATTATCAACATAAAAATAGAATCTTAATTAGCACATCAAATAGAAATGTTTACTTTGCAGCATACTTTGTAAGAGACTGACCTCATAGAACTCGTCAGTCGGTCACCACCCATAAATATGATAACCTCATCCATTCCTAGGAAATAGTCTGAAACTTACCAACACGGCTCAAACCAAATATTGATGACTTCATAAACTGACACCATGTTTTGGTTTGTCCAGTCTTCGCTTTCTTCTAATCTATACCTACACAAGGAAACCGAGCGTTCGTTGTTGATAAGTAATACATGTCTTAACCACCTCAGTTAATTCAGATTCATAATCTTAGCAAACGATTTACTATCTTTGCCGACAAAACTCGAGGGTAAAGAGGGTCTTCGTCATCACAACGTAAAACCTGACAGTTATGTATGTGGGTTCAAGGTGTCATACCCCATAAGCACAGAGAGATGAAATTATCGAGGTAAATCCCAGAATATTAGAGGTAATAATAGTATGAATGGTGATAGAAAAGATTAGACATCAAAGATATCATTCGAGAAAATATAAATTAGTGAAACAAAAAAGTTAGAGAGAATTCAAAAGCTCAGGATTTCAGGGACGACAAAGGGTGAGTGCACTTACAACACGGTAAACGATTTTGAGTCGTGTCATTCAATGATTCCTTCGTACTTGATTGTCCGAATTCCAGATATAGTACGTTTACTTGTGCTCATCTAATTGTACCTGTCCTAAATTGCACTATTTCGGGAATTCCTAGTTAGTAAATTAATTCGAATACTTCTAATCATCACAGCCTGGTAATGCCCTTGGGACATATGCTTCCGACCAATTTATTTACTTTAACACATAGATATTGGTACAAGGAGGCACCAAATACATATGTGCAACACAATCTCATTTGATATGTGTGAAGGCTGTGATACTACTCGGGTGCCCAAACCGAAGCAGGTGGTTTTCTTAGCGGGCCACACTCGGAGCCTTCGGCCTGAAGGTCTGATCCATAAGACAGTGGAGCATCGTGAGGAGATGCAGTCCCATGGAAGCCGGTGACCAACCTTAGGTTCATATGCCACTTGTTCCTTCAGGATACTGGAGCCCATGTGCACCATTGGTTTGGAATGAGGGTTTTCCAACTCCCCTAGGTGGACTCACCGGCCCGGCTAAAGCGCCGGACATTCGCTTTTTGTCCTCTTGATTTCGTAAACAACAGTAATGTCACGAGAATGCAGTGAGTAGGACTTCCCTGGCTGAGGCTATATACGCGTGGCCATGTTGGAGAATTTGGAGTGGAAGAACGGGCTCTCCTTACTCTTGGCCGTACCAATGATCTCCAACCAACCTTGTCATGGGCTTTTCTGTTCAGCTGAGGATTTCAGTTTAGAGCTTGTCTCATGATGTTGATGAGAGGTTTCCATTATCCGTGTTCGACCCACCTCAAACATCTTTTCCCCATTTTCTCTTCAACCGGTAGTTTGATTGTTATCTGAAATAGTTGGTTATTATTGATGGGCTCTGACTAACGGATCTGATGTATTGTGGGCAGAAGGCTATTTATAAATATATGTACCTTACTTGGAAAAGTTGTAGTAGTCCTCTATTTATAGGCTCCGTTTAATAATTCTGTTTTGACGCTTTGACACGTTGGAAATTCTGGCTTTGATCTTGAATGACAGTTCTGTAGAGTTCCAAATATTCTTCAATGGCAGGAAGTATTCCATGTACCTACATCTTGTTTTAAGCATGGTTACTAACCCTACACCTAACCGTCCTCTGTTACCCATGCTGGACACTGTCACGAGCTCTTTAGGTTCGCCAAATGGAGTTTTATCACCTGACTGTTCAGAGTTCAAACGTTTATGAGGGTTTTCAAATAGTGAACTAGTGGCCAAAAATAGGGTAGTTTGATCAACAAAATTCACTGTTTAAGACACCTTAGCTCACACGAATAGATAGTAAGACAAAAAATAGATAAGGGTTCGTACTATTGGGATCCGTTTTAAGTACTTTTTGATATGATATCGTTCTAAAATCAATTTATTTCTTATTAGTTCCTACTACCAATCCATAGATTGTACATTTTTAATACTAATGATTGAATAAATATTAGTCGGGATCCGATTATTTTGGTTTAGTATACTTTTTGTTTTCTCGTTACCACACAGACACACACAAAAGGTAAATGTTCTCACCAAGAGAGAAATGCCATTATCATAATAAAAACTAGTTAAGATTGTTTAAGTTGTCAACCTTTTTAAATCTAAATATTTTGTGGTAACTATTGATGGCTCAAATGAGAACATCTACGAACCTCTAGTTAGAAGCCATGAAATTAGTCATGCGTGGAGTGAAACGGATGTTCATCGGATGACACTAAACGATACTCACGATTTATCTCATATTGATAAGAGTTACAAACTATGAGCCATTGAGTTCTAATATGGTGATTCAAGAATATCGTGATCATCACGAGACTTGGAAGCCGATTGACTTGACCCTGTATCGGTCGATAATACACACTGTGATGTTGTCTCAAGGTTGGATAAAGTGAATACTAATTATTCATCAGTTTCCAGTAGGATTGTAGCAGGTATCCATGATGAAAACTACATCTGAATTATATGAACCTCGACAAGACTTTAATTTGATATAGATATTTGCGGTTGCGAACCGTATTGCCCGTTAATTTCTTCTAGTATCACAATGTTTGACTGAATGTACAGGGTGTATGAATCCAACAAAGTATTACGTCATTATTTTAGTCGTCTGTTAAAAGAATAGTTTTCGCTCTGTCTTAGTGTTGTGTAGTATCTCATCTGTGCTTTTTGCTTCCGGACTTCTTTTCGATTGATCACTATCATACGGCTTTCTTGTTATTGCTTACCATTTTAGGAATCGCTTGGAACAACTAGTTCACAATGTAATCTTTTAATACCAACAAAAAAGAACTCTTCATCATTTCTGTCTGCACTAAAAGTACCTGTAAGTTTGTGTGTAGTGAGGATGTATTTAGCTAAAAACAAAGGCCTTGTTATGCATTACAACTACATATTATTTTTTGGTAAAACTTTCTCCTTGTCTCTTCAAGTTTCACAGTTTAATTATTGTGTTTACAATACTACTTGTCATATCAATCGAAGAGCCTCTGAATACTGTGGAACTCAATACATGATTGCTTTTTTACTGAGTCCTGATTCTTCAGTAGTATGTGTTTTGAAATACGTTCAAGACTAAACTTTAGGTCATCCCGTTTCTGAAGTTAGAACTTATTCTTTGTGTTTAAGTTTTTGTTCTGTGACAGATTTCGTGAGAACTCGATTTTTGTACTAAATATTCCTTAATCTGCTTCCAACTCAATATCCGTTCTACTGTATCTGTTACCAGACCTTGTTTGTAGAATGTGTTCTAGCTATTTTAATCCATTCATTTCCGTCCCTGGCGGTTAGGTCTTTCTAAGTACGTAGCTGACACACAGAATATTCCCAATATAAAGATCGTATGTTTCCGGTCTCAAGCACCTGTTCCTTGAGCTATTTCGTCACGTTTCCAGGTTTTTGTGTCATTTAATCCAGTTTTCTTTTCATGTACCCCAAGAAAAAAATATCCTTACATGGTGTGGCCCACGCGAATTCTTTGTCCTCAACCTACACTATCAGAACAACATGCCCGATTTACATTTCTTACTCACCGATTACAGAACCACAACTCACTACAAATAGGAAGTCACAATATGTATTTACCTAGGTCATTTGTAGTACAAAAATGTATAGCAGCCACTGTGAACAACGGTAAAAGATATATTAACAGCCAGTAGATTACGTGAAACCTTGTACATCAGATTTAATGAATACCCGGTAAAATGTATATAGTAATCCGCGGTAGCATCGTCTACAAAGTTCCACCTATTCGTTCTTATCTAAAATAACCTTTGTAGTCTTAGTATTTTATCCTTTTTTCTACAACAAGCTTTTTCTCACTTTATCTCTTTCAGGGTGTTATTGAATATTCATTGACTTTATTCTTCTCTAAGCTAGTTTCTTATACTTTCCTATTTTGGTTACCTATGTATATACGTGAAGCAGGCGGTTTCGACCCATCATCATCAGCTGATTTATCAGCTGTTTTTGATTTAGGTGGAATACTCGGTGGGATTATCGCTGGTTATGTATCCGATTGTACTGGATCAAGTGCTATTACATGTGTTGTAATGATTGCTTTGTCGATACCTACGGTAAGAAATCTTGCATAGTGGTTATGCATTTTCACTTAACTTTTTTTCACTTTTGTATTGAAGGGAAAAAAGTCGATAATATGTGTATGTGTATGTGTAAGTGAAAGAGATGGAATCCATATTAAAGTTGAAACAAACTGTGTAATTTATGTGAATTTCGGCTAAGTATACTTACAACGGGGAGATGAACATAAAATATCTACTAACATCAATCTTCAATGGTATTTTATTCCAGTAAAGCCACTTAGGTTATAAATGATAATGTGGTGCGTTTGGTTTCAATAATAAAGATTTAAAGAAAGAGAGTATTCACAACATTGGTTCGATATTAAAAGACTGATTAGACTTTCTCTCTCTCTCTGTATATTATTAATTTTCAAATTTTTGGAAGTTGCAGAAATCGTTGGTTTTATTCAATGGAGGTACGCAATTTTGCTAACAAGATTTAATTCATCTCAAAAATCATTATTATAGCCATTTTTGATTTCAGCCGATTCTTTATCACTTATAATATTCTTTTTGAGAATAAATAAAGATAACATTCTTCAAGAGCAATAGTACCCATGTTCATTTGTTGTAAAGGCTTGCGAACGCATCCATAATGTTCTCAACATAAATATCTTATCTGTCCAATTTGCCATAGTTTATATCAATTTACTTATGTTTGTTACCCCTCGTGGAGGAGCGTTGGTCGCCGACCAGGATACTCCGACCAACTTTGTCCTGGGTTCTCCTTTTCAGCTGTTTCTGATTGCTATTCGTTCTTTTGTTGTCTGCCTCCAATTCCCGACGTAATATGTCCTTGGTTCTTCCTTTCTTCTTCTTTCCTTCAGGATTCCATGTTACGGTTTGCGTCGTGAACTTTATATCATGATATATATGCATTGGAAAGTCATCAAGAAGAATAAATTTGGAATCATTGATACCAACGGTAGTTGGAAGATGAAAGAAACACTTAAAAATATCCAATAAGAGTTTCGAAATATATCATGACGTTGGAGATTTTGTAAATTGTGAAACCACTATTTGTTTAAACGTCAGTTCAAACAGGAAGCCTAAAATTCTTTATTTAGTAAAGGCTTTCATTAATATCAACTTTTAGTCTTGATCTAATCACCTTGTATTCCTATCTGTCCTACCTCAGTTAAACCGAAAGAGCATGCCGATATGAATGACGATCGGATTTACTTAACACATCTGTTCTATCCGTGTAAACTTCCTATATTGTTCACATATTTCCAACATATTTCAGTCACCAGATGATACCAGATAAAATCTAAGCTTAAGAACATGATTTAGCCCTATTTCAATATTGATATTATGTTCCTAATATGAAAAATCTTAATCTTGTTGGTTTGAGAATCGCTTATTTGTTTATTTGTAAGTACTAGTCAGTTAGTTGGGAAACCATTGATACGTATAAGTAACCGCTACTTTTCAAATTGCACTTTAAGAATGTCGATCTCATTAAGTCATTTAACTTCATTTCATATTTAAAGAGGAGGTCGGGATGTAGTTTGCTTGATGGTATAACACGATCTTCGTTAATGTTACCAATATTTACCATCAGAGTCATGAAACAGTTACTGACCTTTTCCTCGTTCTCATTTAATTTTTCACTTGTAGTATAAGACAAAATCTCCGTAACTATTATCTCCGATTTCATTATTCATTATTGTTTTTATTCATTTATTTTTATCCAACATAGTTGTATCTATACTCAGTCGTTGGATTTCGTTCTTTAGCTCATTGTATCGGTAAGTTGAGCAAGGTTAGGTAGTTCATTTTATTTCGGTGTATAGTTGCAATTTATGTGTTGCTAAGTTTTGGGAAAAAATTACTTCTTGTTTAATGTCCGCACTGTGTAATTAATAATTCTGTGCGTTACCACACGATCGTTTGACACGTTTCTGGTTTCCAAAGAAATCATCCAATTAGTATTTTTGTATTTCGTACAAGAAACTAGTTGAATTTCATGATGAAACTTACTAAACTGTGATATATCCAATATCACTGAGTAGAAAGAGAGTGAACCATATTTTGATAAATAATCGAAAATTTAGTACTGTAAATACTCTGATAAGGGTGCAGATCAGTGAGTAAAGTGTACATCTTACAACCATTAGATTAAAAACTAAACCATCACTGCTGTTGGCTTCAGTTTAGCCAGATCAGTAGTATTTTAACTACTTATCTGCGTAAACAAAAAGATTGTGATTCGAAAGCCAAATGAATATACGAATCAGTAATCGGTGCAAAGTTACATAAATATATGACTTATTTGATAACTTCACTGACGTTGATTTTACTTCAGTTGTCATTCTTTCGATAAAACAGAACGACCTTTGTTTTAGATGGTAAGATTGATCAGTCAGTTACTCTTCATCGTCGTTTAGAGTTTTTGACTGATACCTTGGGGTTGATGTCAAGCATTCTTTTCTAGTTTCGAAGTAATTTACATATGCTCAATAAGTAATTTTTAGTTTGCAATCACTATAGGTAAAGTAGAATATCAATGGTCCATCGCAACACTTAAACTAATATCTTTCTTTGAAATAATTCTATGATGTATAACAACTTATCCTTCATTTTCATCACACGGTAGTCTGCGGACGTACTGATGACAGATACTAGAATAGAGCAGGCGACAGCTATTGTTGTATATATCCGATACCTTCAATCCTTTTTGAAATTTATCTATCATCATACTCAGCTTTTCAGTACTATGGCATTTTATATGTCCTGCAGTCATCCACTCCTAGATAGTGTAAAACTTGGAACATTATATATATATATCACATCAGGACAACGAGATGAAATTATCAAGATAAATATCGAAGTGGTAAAAACAGTAGTTGTATTATCAATGGTAATAACAATGATTAACCATAAATGTAATTCGAGAGGGAAGAATTAATTCGTAGGATGAGAAGTATGAAACAAATTTGAAGCTCAGAATCTAAGGGAAAATTAACATATATTGGATTTCTAGCATGTTTAATTAGAAACCTAATTCTCCACGGTGTATATTTGTGACCAGTTCAATTGTTTGCACATTATCTCTTACTGAGATTTAAGCAATCAAGTAGTATTATCAATAAATTGTTCGAAATTGTAAATGGTTACTGGTTCTGTTATTATTTTTATTATGCTTAACAGATCCTTTAAAAATATACTTTTCTAATGACTAATTTCTACATTATTTTAGGTTTATTAATCCCATTGGGATTGTTTGTTAATGGTCCTTACGCTTTGATTACAACAGCAGTTTCAGCTGATCTAGGTACTCATCCTTCATTGTCTAAAAATTCTCGTGCATTGGCTACAGTAACAGGTATTATTGATGGAACAGGTTCAGTTGGTACGTTGTGCTAACAATACTCACTTCATGTTGCACTTAGTTTTACTCATAGTTGCGGCTATTTATCCTTGATACTTTGATGAGGAAAATCTTATTAGTATATATCTAAAGCTAACAAATCCGTAAAAATGTAATTCAAATGATCTAACCTATCGACAGTGGAGATTTGTATACCATGTGTTGAATGGAGTCACAATATCTAACAGTTTCTACACTTTGTTGATAACTTTAAGTAAATCCGTCCAATGGTTAATTAATATTCTTAATATACAGTAATATATTGTCAGTCATTTGTTAAACATAGGTTTATATCAAACATTTTATTATCTGTTTCGAACCAGTGAATAACCAAAGTATTATATATTTTGGTAGGTCTTTGCGCAAATCAAGCATTAAATTAGTAATATCAAATGAAGGGAATTATTTAATCTTAGAATGTTAATTATTGAGTCCTGACTTATTGCCTCAGCTGTTATATTCATATTTGTCCATCACATTGAATATACATTTAAATATATGTGGTGTTCATGGTATTCGAATGTCCAACTAATCTGCATACCGTATTGAAAGAAGAGTAAAACGATGCCGTTAAGAGTGAAGGAATAAGTTATTTCATAATTGGTATATCTAAGCAGCTGCAAATTGACTCTAGCCACTTTTTAGTTAAATTGTTTCCATTATAAAACTGCTGTAGAAGTTTAACCGTTAGTTTCTTCACTAACTGAACTTATTTGGTAACATTGAAGTATAGGGTTTTAAGCTGTTTATTGTTAGATTGTGTTTTAATACCTTTTGTCGACTTCATTATGATCGAAGAATAAAGGTGAATGAAATCTAGGTTAAACTATATTATACCGATGACCTTAGGTAGTTTTTAGGAGTGACCTTGAGATCAACTAATCATAATGCAGTCTTTGTGAAAGAATTCTATATTACGAAATGATAAAATTACAAAGGATTAAATATTTTAAGACGAATAGTAAACTTATCAGGGCTAAATATCGGCAAGTTAGACTGAAGATCATTACCGTAACCTTAACTCGTATTCCTAACACTTTATTCCGCAAAAACGTCATCCCGTCGTTTCAAGTTCCGTAATAGTTGTTGGAACCATTACTTTCAACAACCAGCTATTCACACTGGCGTTTTAAATTTGTTCCAATATTCCCTAATTAACTATCTTAATTTTGGAACGACATATGTAAACGAACAATATTGTTTTAAATTAGATATTCATCAGGCTTTACTCTAATGTACATAGATATTTACATGGAAATATTAAACCAACGGAGGCATTACATTAGTCAATAGTCACAATCCGGCAGATTACTTAACTAAATATGATAGTATCAGAAGGGATTTTTGTGGATATTATAGTAATTTCAATAGTCGAGATCATGAGTCACTTGAATTTGGACCACCATGGGAAACCTGAAAGCACTGGACGGCCGTCTCGTCCTATTGTGTGACTCCTCGGCACTGCGCATCCACGATTCCACCTCGCGAGATTCGAACCCAGGACTTGTCGGCCTCGCGCGCGAACGCTTAACCCCTAGACCACTGAACTTGCCGGCATCCAACGGTGTTAATTTCTAACTCACTGACGGCAATGGTGGACGTGTCGCTCAATTTCGTGGATTAGTCGGAGTAAATAATGGAAATTGATAGTAAGAAGGCAGGTGTACAAGTAGTAGTGATACAGTTTATAAAATAACAAAAGTTCTGATCAATAGTCCAACATAAGAAGTAGGTCAAACTTCGATAAATAGTTTTTGAAATAATAATCGCATAAACTAGTTAAAATTTGGCGGCCTGCTTGAATATCTGGGCTACTTGTTTTTGCCATCTGATTATTTCAACAAGTTATCTGTTTTTTCGTTTGTTTTAACTTATAATTATGTCCATTAATCGCATAACCTATTCAGACGCTTTTATGAAAAGCCTACGACCTTTCGCTGCATAAGTTACAAAAAAGTACTATAAAAGACATCGTGGTGGTTGGCAATATGCGTTAAAGAGAATGAACATTAATCGTACGTCGACTCCCGAGCTGCTAAATTCTAACTACTGATCATTAATCAACAAAATGGACTATCTTCAATTCCCACTAAGTCAAAATATGTATCGTAATTGTGGTGTCATCAAAATTCAAGAATCTTGGTTAAATGATTTACAGGATGACTGCCTAGTATCACTACGTGATTTCAAAATTTATCGTCAGGATCGATCAAACAACAAAAAGAGGTGTGGTGGTAGTGTAGCTACGTTTGTAAACATAAACTAGTGTCGATCTTCGTTTGTGTGTTTTAAGTTTTCAAATGCCTTTATCGACTGTCAAACTCTAAGATGTCGTCCAAAACATCTGAATAAATACAAATATGTTTATGTTACCAATATCTACGTTACTCCAGATTGCACATCATCTGCACTATCTGTTTTCGCTGATGAATTCACTGAGTTCGCTGTTTCTGCCTTCAGTGACTCACTTTCAGTTGTATGTGGTGATTTCAATTCATGTGACTGTAACTTCCTTACGTCACTAGGTCACCAAAATTTAGTAGATTTTCCTACCCGTTTGAATGGTCATTTAGACTTCGTCTTGATTAATGATGTGGGTATATATGCGACTCGTAAACGTGCTCTACTCTCTAGCTCGGATCACTGTATAATTCGTGTTCTACCTAAAGTATATGGAAAGCGTGGGAAGAGTACACTCTTACATCAAACCAAGAAAGTCAAATATAGGGATTACTCAGAAGAAAATATCCGAAATCTGAAAAACATGTTTCATACGACTAACTGGGAATTATTTACAGATGACACACTGGAAAACACTACTGATGTTATCACTTGTTACCTTAAATTCTGTTTTGATATTTGTTGTCCCACTGAAACCATTTTTGTAAGTTTTGATCGACTTACATCTTCACAACTAAAACGACTACGGAGGATGAAAGAAAGAATGTACAAGGAGAAAAACTCTTATGAAATTCGTAAGCTAAATGGTCTGATAAACCTAGAGATTAGACGTCTCAACTGTATGTCTACTCAAAAACTCTTGTTCTGCAAAAACTCTCCAAGTATGTGGAAACTCTTTAAAGAACTTACAGGTGACAGACAGTTTAGAAGCGATAACCAGCTGAATGTTTGTGACTTAAATAAGTCTTTTGTACGTCAGTCATCTAATGTGATGCTCCCTCTATCCACGGGTTTAAAAACTAGCTGTGTTCCTACTTTCACCGAAACTGATGTACGAGGATGTCTCCAGTCGCTTAATTCATCTCGATGTTTGGGACCTGATGGTATTCCAAACATCCTTTGTAAAAAGTGTGCTGACGTCCTATGTTATCCGTTCACAACTATCTTTAACAGATCCTTCTCATCTAATCTCATACCGAAAATGTAGAGAAAGATGTAGATAATTCCTGTACCCAAGAAAGCATCTGGTGATAAGAATGTAAAATTTAGACTTATTGCAATAAATTCACTCTTCCTCAAAACAATGGAAAAATTATTAATACTTCCACTTCAGCCTGCGATAAAAGAGCATATTGATCCATATCAGATTGCATACAGACGCAAAAGAAGCACTTTAGATGCTGTTGCTGTCCTTCATCACAACATAGTGTTCAACTTAGAAAAGGGTAAGAAGTATGTTCGATGTGCTTTTCTGGACTATGCTTCAGCTTTTGATTCAATACCAAGACAACAATTAATCAACAAGTTAATCAGCGTCGACACTGACAGCTGGATAACCAACTGGCTATGTTCCTACCTCTCTGGAAGGGAACAGTACACTGTGTTTGGAGGAAAGTGTTCAGAGTCTCTTCTGTCGCATGAAGGGGTACCACAAGGAGTTGTTCTTTCACCTCTTTCTCTCTTTTTTTCTGCATGATCTGCCATCTTCCACAGAAAACACTCTTGTGAAATATGCGGATAATCTCACTGTATGTATGCCTATCTCTTCCTCTTTACATTCCATAGAAATGAATGAGTTTTGTTTCGTATTGATTGTTGGTCTGTTGGTAATGGTATCATACTTAATCCGTCTAAATGTCAAGCTGTTAACTTTAGCATGAGACATGAACGGAATCTAAACACCATTTTCAGATCCCACAATGCTTGTACCATTGGAGACTCTTTGATAAACACAGTGTCGAAGGTCAATTATTTTGGTGTCACCTTTTCCTCTGATCTGTCTTGGTCTTCCCACGTTTTATTGTTATCGAAGAAGGCTTTCCGTCTGACTTACTACATAAAGAGATTGCATGCTCTCGGGATTACTCGTCATTTACTCTTACAATTTGTCAATTCTTGCATACTACCTATTATTCTTTACTGTTCCCCATTATTCTTTCCCGGGCTTTTGAGAAAAGACCTTGCTGTATTGCGACGAGTGCTGAAGGCAGTTAGCAAGATGTGTGGTGAATCTTTCGAGGTCATAATTAATATGGTTGTGGATAGACATTTAAAATCATGCAAACTCCTGGCAGGTGTCATTTTATCAGATACTAACCATCCCCTTCACTCATATCTTTCTCCTTGTATATCTTTTGGTAGAACGAGACGTAATTACATTAAAATCCATGCACGCAAGCAAAAGTATAAAAGTTCTATAATACCTTACCTAGCAAATATACTCTGTGACGAACAGGTTGTTAGAGTTAACCTAGTCAATAACCTGCATTCTTAACATGTCTCTAATTTTAAAAGTTGTACAGGTTTTCGGTTTTTTTTAGAAAAAACTTTTATTTCTTTTTGTATTTGTTACTGTGTTTTTTTTGTTGTTGCGTAAGTAACTTGATAGCGGATAATACCCTGTACTGAGAATTCTATATTATACCAAAATATAATATTGAATAAAGCCATTAATAATAATAATAAAATTACGTAATAAAACTCGTGTAAACAATCAGATAGTGAAGAATATAAATAGAATGAGATGATTGACGAAAAAATGCGTAATGTGAAGAATTGATAAAATCGTTCGTTAAGTCGTTTTGTTTTCGACAATAATTATTATAGACAAATTGATAAAATAGCTATGGGCTCATATTTAAGTCCAGTTTTAGCTTATTTCTTCTTAACAATAAGAAATGAACCGTTCATGTAAGCTATCAATAAACTAGATCTACACTTCCGTTACGTGGATAACACATTCGTGACCGTAGATCGAAATACTAATAACGAAGAAGTCGTAAATCAGTTTAATAGCGTACACTCATCAACTTCATAGGTTGATACTATAGTTTGGTCTGTTCACTCCTAGATTTTCTGCTGATCTACTCCTATGTCATTCAAGATCTAACCTGGGGGCAGCCAGTAACAAGGCCTGTATAACATGTATATCAGCTATTTCAGTTAATAAACGTTTATGGTTTAATTAATTGACTTATCATTTCTATTTATATATCATACATTATTACTGTCGTCGTTTTTACAATCATTGTAACTGTATAAAAGATAAATATTCTTATTTCATCGGCGGCATGATGTGTTGTTTTCATTTTTCACATTCGTTAAATTAGGTGCAGCACTCGGACCTTTACTGTGTGGTCTCATGAAACCATATGGTTGGTCTGTCATTATTATTATGCTTATTGTCGCGTTAGCTCTGGCTGCAGTCGTAAGTTGTGTTTTCTATTACTTATTCTTTTATCTCCAAATAATCTGCTCTTAAAATGTGTTATAAGTTCTTGTGTTCTGAGGTCTGATCCATTTACGATATGTACGCTTCTTGCAGTATACCAAACCCGCTATGGAGATAAGAAGAGTGCATGACTGGGATGTTTAATTGCCGAGCCGAATAGTAATGTGGACAGATCATGGATAGTTAAACAGTTGTCTTCCGTGACCTAGATAGCTGTATGTGGGTTGAGACCCTTGTCTAAAATATATGCTACTTCTTTCTGTCTCATTTTTTCTAAGTGATTTCCCACTTAACATTTAAACTTCAGACGACTCGTGACCGTCTAGATTTGGAGAAATCAGGCAATATCTAAAAATCTTATTATCATCTCCCCCTCCTGATAAGTTTTTCCGTTTATTTTTAGTTGATGTGAGGAACATGAACTTCCTACGTAATAAAGTATTTAAGAACTTGTGGAAGATTACTTCCTAATTTAAATATTTCCACCCCATATATCAGCTAAAAATTGCTAACTGGGACCTGCCACCCACCATATGAGGTAGAAAACTCCAACTAAGAGTCACCAGACGATTCCATTCTAGGATCTTCTTTCCACCTGTCGCCAAATGCTACTCATGATCTTGATGTCTGGCTCCAATTATCAGCGACATTTTTTGGCCTGCTTCTTTTCCTTTTGTCTTGAAGAATATAAGTCAGGGCTTGACTTGTGGTTCAGTTTGATGATTTCCGTAAACTGTATCCGATCCACCTCCAGTTTCCTTTCCCGATTTCCTCCTCAACCGGCAGTTGGTTTGTTATCTGTAATAGGTAGGATTTCCCATTCGATTCAGCAGCACTGTTGAAGTGGTTTTTGTACTGACAGAGGCTTGATTGCAGAATTCTGAATGAAGCTCTCTGTGGTTACCGCAAGGTTCAAGCTGTGGGATGGATTATGGTTAGTCACAGGATTGACAAACACCTCATCAAATTTCATCCAGCCGAAAAAGCAGTCAAGAAAATACCGTAATTGAATTATTTTGATCACATAACTTCCCATGTTCATAAATTATCTTGTATCATTTTATATTGGCTTTTGTGTTTAATGGATAGAAAGTATACTTGTTAACTTATTTGATTTGATTGCCTGGTATTCACAGTTAATTCTTGCATAAGAAATCCGAATACTACTTGTTTAAAGATAGAGTAATGCAACTATCATTGTATTATAATTTGCTGGTTTATGATACGACACATGGTCAACTATCTCTAGATTCTTTTATTTCAAATTGTATTGCACTCGATATAATCACATTAGATAGAAAGCATGTACTACCACGATACGTTCATTTTATAAGTTTAGGAATTAAGTAAAAAAATGATGACATATATATGTGCTTATTTATTATGCTAAGCTTTTATTACTGTCCGGTTAACTGTTAAAGTGGAAATATATTGAATGGTGTTATGATTCGAAATGGTAGTGAACAAGAATACTAGTGGGGACAATCGAATACAATTTGACAAAAAATTACAGAGGATCTCAATAAAATCTGAGAACCATATAGTAAATCATTAATTTGCAAAATATCAATCCATTGTCTCAAACTTGACTGTTGCTATTGCGAACATCAATCCATTGTCTCAGATTTCATTGTTCACCCGTTCTCATACCAATTGCGTTCCGTTCCCGTTCTTCTCTCATCGACCTCCTACTCAAATACATTGTATGTCTGACACCGTTACAGACTACTTATGTGGATATAAGTAAACCACACCATGGTATTAGTCATGAGACGTAATTAGATGTTATAAATAAATTACCGCTATTTTAATTTTTATTTCTAATGCCGATGTAACTCTTTTGTTTCAAAAATCTCATCACAGTTGCTTTTCCGTATGGTAGCCAATGAAAGTCGTCAATGTTGTTTCAGTGTTCAACAATCATTATTACCATCATCTTCATCACTGTCGAATGCGGCTGATGCTTAAAATCAGAAATGGTTATTCAGTATTTTCCAAACCTAAGCAAGATTTCAGAGATTAAGTCGAAATGCTTCAATAGATTTATAAAACTTGAATTTTGATACTGTATGTTCGTGTTTTCTGCAAAAAAAAGGAGAGAAAACAATGTAATATCATCATTGCTTATTTGTCAAAGTTGATTTTCCCATTCTGTTGGTTTGTCGATTTATTTTCTCTTTTTTTTGAACTGACAATGTTCTTATCCATTTTGACATTGATAAAAAATATTTAAGTTTTCTGTATCCAAGAGGTGACAATTATGATTAAGATAGGGGGTAATTTTTAATCCAAAACTACTTATCAACGTAAAAACTTTTTAAAAAAATGAAAGTATAAATGATTTAATAATTAATTTTAATAATAGTTTTCGATACATATTTAGCTGAAATTATTGATTTTTCTATTTACAATATAATATACATAGAAATATATATATATATATATATATTTTTTTTTCCGTATTATGTGTCATTTTATGAGTTCTATTGTTTTATCCGTTTACACGACTTGGCTATCCTTTTCATTTTGCTTAATGTAAAATTATAACAATTTTAATTTGTATTATTCTTGTCTTTCGTTCTATTTTATATTCAAAAACTTTTCAATTATTACAAATTAATTATAATAATAATAATAATCTCTTTACGTCTGCATCGGATCCTCCTTGTTCATCGATGATGCTTCTCAGGTAAGTGAAGGATCCCACATCTTAAAGAGTTTCACCATTAAGTGGGATTGGGTTAGTGTTCTCCGTGTTGTATTTGAGGATCTTGGTTTTTTCTTCGTGTATGTTGAGGCCTACTGATTCAGAGACTGCTGCTACACTAGTTATCTTCATCTGCATTTGTTCGTGTGTATGGGATAGGAAGGCCATGTCATCTGCGAAGTCCAAATCGTCTAATTGGTCCTGAGATGTCGAAGTCTTCATAATACAGTTGACCACCATAAGAAAGAGGACGTATTACACTGATTCAATTCAAATTAGAAAAAAGTTCTAGTAATCATTTGATCACACAAAATACCAAATATGTTTTGGCTGAAATATGAACCACATTGGTCTAAGTCGGTAACCTCTACTGATTAATTACAGGTGGATGATTATAGATATTTAAAAATAAGTCATTGGTTGACCTGCTTTTAAAAGCTGTGCTCAGTGTATCTGGAATATAATTAAATGCACGGCGGTTGTGAACACTGTTTTTTTCAGTTGTATGGATCATTGAAATGGCTGCAAATGAGAAATTTAAACGATTGTGGTTTTCTATCGTTAGCCCTATATATATAATTCTATTAGAGATTCAAATAAATTTTCTTTAAAGAAATTGGCTAAACTTGAGAAAACAATTGAGCGAAAACTACAAGAGTATTTTTTGTTTAGCTATGGATTTCTAAAACTTTATTTATAAGTAGTCTAGTTTTGCATTTCTTCGGTTGGGTCAGAAATACAACTGGATAACGTACTTCGCTTAGATTATCAAGTTATAAGTTCTACATAATTTATAAAATATGAGAAATAAACCATGGACAAATGAAATTAGTTTAAAACATCTTTCAGTATACTGCCATTTTCTCACCATAGGTCTACATTAATATAATAATAGTAAATATACTATGAAAATAATAATTACAGAATTTATATCAGTTTATATACATAATCAGCTTAATATAGATAGTAGCATTATATGTAGAGAACAGGTATGTGATATCAGATTGTTTTGAAGTGCTTCGTTCATGTGTGTTACGGCAACACCCCGGTACGGCCGGGGATGGAGGTCAGCTCTCACATAGCCACTGTTGGGGACGATAGATCCCCAAACTCATATTTTAAATTTTATCTTATCGATCAAATGTTAGATATTTTTATTGGGGTCAATTGATGAACTATCGATTAAATGCGCAAATAGGTCAATTAATGAACTCATTGATTAATGTTTAAAAATTTTCTATCGATTGTAAATAATTGTATAAATACGCTTGACTTGTATGCTTGATCTGATCTGCCTGCCTGACTTGTTATCTGCTGTTTGTCTGTAGAATACACTTTCTACACCTTACCCAGACTTCTTGATCGAGTTAGCAGAGTTGGGGACAACGGACCAGAATAGTCTATCGAGATTCTGAATCCTTGATCCGATCGATAAGTCACTGTCATATAATCGGCTGTCACTTTGAGACATAACAATTGGCGACGGGGATGGGATAAAAAAAAAGAACAATCCAAAGTCAGCCTTCAGCATCCAGATTTGTCATCAGTGTCTTTCAGCAACATTGGTCATTAATCAAACAGTAATTTGCATTACCGGTGCTGAATAAAAAAAATGACTCTCCCTTCCGATCGAGTACAGCTGCTATTTGAAAGACAGTTGGAGTTTTTAGTCAAATTACGCACGCAGCTGTTAAATTACTCATGCTTTGGAGATGCAACGGAAGTGGATGGATTGATCTCTCAACTTCACACAGAGCTGGAAAATGTTTGCAGCCCCAATGAATCCCCGATAAACCGTATTTCAAACGGTACAACAGTCACTCAAGATTCGCCCAATGGTCCAGTCCTCTCCATTCCAGAAACATGCCCGGTAATGGACTCAAACTCCATTATCCCCAAAACAGCATGTGCAGACGGTGACTTATCCAGCTCACAAACACACTCCCTGGTAAATACTCATAGAATTGTCGCAATAACCACCCATGAAACAGAAAACAAATCGAGCAGTACACTGAATACAACTGCTTCAAATGGTTCTCATCAGTCTGCGACAGATGTTTTTTGACAAATCTTATTATCAAGATTCTCTTTTACCAGAAAATATGTCAGATGCATCAAATGATGATCAAAAACTTAATACAATTTTGATAGATGCTAATTACCTTGATGATCCATTATCTACAAATAAGATTCCAAATAAATTTGGTCACAATATTTCAGAAGAATTAAACTTCGAACACCTCATATCAAGTGTCGTTCAGCCTCAAGACTTAGTCACTTTCAGTCAATTCTCTGTTCAGTGCGATAAATATGTCTTAAATAAATTCAAGTTAATTATAACGTGGGCACATGAGGATCCAACACTGTTTCGTGGGGGAGGATGGACCTGGAAAACTTAAAATCCGGATATCAACTCCGGATCTTCTAAAAAGGGGAGGAGTGTTGGGGACGATAGATCCCCAAACTCATATTTTAAATTTTATCTTATCGATCAAATGTTAGATATTTTTATTGGGGTCAATTGATGAACTATCGATTAAATGCGCAAATAGGTCAATTAATGAACTCATTGATTAATGTTTAAAAATTTTCTATCGATTGTAAATAATTGTATAAATACGCTTGACTTGTATGCTTGATCTGATCTGCCTGCCTGACTTGTTATCTGCTGTTTGTCTGTAGAATACACTTTCTACACCTTACCCAGACTTCTTGATCGAGTTAGCAGAGTTGGGGACAACGGACCAGAATAGTCTATCGAGATTCTGAATCCTTGATCCGATCGATAAGTCACTGTCATATAATCGGCTGTCACTTTGAGCCATAACAGCCACGTGCATACAACCACTCCCAGGGAAGTTCTGCTCACAGCCTTCCCTTGGTCGGGGGTGTTGTTTACGAAATTCAGAGGAAGAAAAGCGAATATCCGGCGCTTTTACTGGGTTGGTAGATATGGAGGATCCACCTATGGGAGTTGGAAAACTTGGATTCCAAACCAGTGGTGCGTCGGGGCTCCAGGATTCTGAGACAACGGATGACTCATTGTTGTTCGCCGGTTACCATTAAACTACCTATCCTAACGTTGTTCCGTTGCCTTGTTGATCAGACCTTTGGGTCGATGGCTCCGGGTATATTCCCCTGAGAAAACCACCTGCTTCAGTCTGGGTACCCGGGCATTATCACAGCCCACACACAAATGAAGTGACTTGTGTGGCACATATGTATACGGTGTCTCTTTGTACCAATATTTATGTGTTCAAATAAATACATAGAAGGGGATCAGCCGGGAACCGAAGATAGCTTACTTACTTACGCCTGTTACTCATAATTGAGCATAGGCCGCCGACCAGCATTCTCCAACCTACTCTGTCCTGGGCCTTCTTTTCTAGTTCCATCCAATTCTTGTTCATTGTTCTCATGTCTATTTCCATTTGCCGGCGTAATGTGTTCTTTGGTCTTCCTCTTTTCCTTTGGCCTTGAGGATTCCATGTGAGGGATTGTCTTGTGACGCAGTTGGGTGCTTTCCTCAATGTGTGTCCTATCCACTTCCGGCTCTTCTTCCGCTGGGATCTGGTTTGTTCTCTCCCACAGTACATTGTTGCTGATTGTGTCTGGCCAACTAATCCGAAGTAGTTTGCGTAGACAGCCGTTAATAAACACCTGTATTTTCTGGATGATGGCTTTCGTATTTCTTCAGGTTTCTGCCCCATACAGTAGAACTGTCTTGATATTTGTATTGAAAATCCTGACCTTGGTGTTTGTCGAAAGTTGCTTTGAGTTCCAGATGTTCTTCAGTCGTGAATATGCTGCTCTTGCTTTACCGATCTGCGCTTTCACGTCTGCATCAAATCCACCATGTTCATCAATGATGCTGCCCAAATATGTAAAGGCTTTTACATCTTCCAAATTTTCGTCAATTGTGACTGGATTGGTGCATGCTGTGTTGTATCGGAGAATCTTGCTTTTCCCTTTGTGTATATTGAGACCTACTGCTGCTACACTGGTCGTCTTCTCCCGCATTTGTTGTTGTGATTGTGATAGGAGGGCCAGATCATCTGCGAAGTCTAGATCGTCCAGCCGTATCCCAGATGTCCACTGTATCCCGCGTTTCCCTTCAGGTGTTGACGTCTTCATGGTCTAGTCTATCACCAGGAGAAAGAGAAAGTGTGAGAGTAAGCCGTAGTATCAAAGAAGCTTCCATAGTGTTGTTCTGTCCACGCTGTCAAATGCTTTTTCGTAGTCAATGAAGTTGATGTAGAGTGATGAATTCCATTCAATTGATTGTTCCACAATGATCCGTAGAGTTGCGATTTGGTCTGTACACGATCTATCTTTACGGAATCCTGCCTGTTGGTCACGAAGTTGGGCGTCTACGCAGTCCTTCATCCTGTTTAGCAAAACCCTGTTGAAAACTTTTCCCGGTATTGAGAGAAGAGTGATGCCCAATAACTATCACAGTTCCTGAGATCGCCTTTCTTTGATGTTTTGACCAGAAGTCCTTCTTTTCAGTCTGTTGGTACTTGTTCCTCATCCCAAATCTTGCTGAAGATAATGTGGAGTATCCTTTCAGTTGCCGCTACATCTGCTTTCAGTGCCTCTGCTGGAATGTTGTCTGGTTTTGCTGCTTTGCCACTCTTGATTTGTCTGATGACCATGCTTATCTCTTCAATTGTTGGTGGGCCAACATCGGTTGGGAGGTCCGTGGGTGCTGCTTCAATGTTGGGTGGGTTCAGTGGGGCTGGTCGATTCAAGAGTTCTTTGAAGTGTTCTACCCACCTGTTTCGCTGTTCTTAAATATTGGTGATTACTTCGCCTTGCTTGTTCTTCACTGGTCGTTCTGGTTTGCGATAAGTTCCAGCGACTTTCTTTGTTATATCATACAATTGTATCATGTTTCCTTCTCTTGCAGCCTTTTCCGCCGTCGTTGCTAAATCTT